GTACAGCATTTAATGCATATATTAGAAAGAGGAAAGATCTAAACTCAATCACCTAAGCTTCCACACTAGAAAACTACAAAATGTAGAACAAATTAAATCCAAAGTGAGCAGAAGAAAAGACATAATAAAATTTAGAGCAGAAGTCAATAAAATTGAAAACAGAAGATCAGTAGATAAAGTCAACAAAATCAAAAGCAAATCTAAGAAAATGAAATTAGAACATAAATCACTAATATCAGAAATAAAAGAAAGGAAATCACTACAGATTCCATTGACATTAAAAAGACAATAAAGGAATATTATAAATAACTCTATGCCCACAAATGTAATAACCTACATGAAATGGACTAATTTCTTGAAAAACACAGTCAAAACTCTTACAAGAAGAAACAGATCATCTGAATAGGCCTATATCTATTAAAGAAATTAAGTCAATAATTAATTACCTTCCAAAACAGAAAGCACCAGGCCCAGGTGGGTTCACTGGTGAATTCTACAAAACATTTTAAAAAATACATACCAATTATCTACAATCTCTTTCAGAAGATAGAAGCAGGGGGAATAGTTTTTATCTCATTCTATGAGGCCAAGACCATCCTAATACCACAACCAGGCAAAGACATTATAAGAAAAGAAAACTATATAGACCAACATCTGTAATGAAATTAGATGCAAAAATTCTCAATAAAATATTGGCAAATCAAACCCAACAATGGATAAAAACAACTATACACCTCAATCAAGTGGGATTTGTCCCAGGTATGCAAGGCTGTTACAACATTCAAATATTAATGTAATCCAACACATCAATAGACTAAAGAAGAAAAATCACATGATCATATCAGTAGATGCAGAAAAAGCATCTGACAAAATCCAACACCCAGTCATAATAAAAAAAAACCGCCGAAAATTAGGAATAGAGTTGAATTTCCTCAACTTGATAAGAATATCTACAAAAAACCTACAGCTAACATCATACTTACAGGAGAGAAAATAGAATCTTTTCCATTAAGATTAGGAATAAGGCAAAGGTGTCCCCTCTCACCACTCCTTTTCAACATAGCTAATGCAATAAAATAAGAAAAGGAAATAAAAGGTATCCTGATTAGAAAGGAAGGAATAAAACTGTCTTTACTCATGGATGATATGACTGCCTATGCAGAAAATCTGAAACAATTGACAAAAAAACTAGAACTAATAAGCAATTATAGCAAGACTGAAGGACACAGGCTAATATATAAAATTCAACCACTTTCCTATAAAACAGCAATTAATGAGTGGAATTTGAAATTAAAAACACAATTCTCTTTACATAAGCACCCCCAAAAATGAAATAGAGATGCTCCTTGACGTAGATGGTGTTATGTCCTGATAAACCCACCATAAATGGAAAATATCACAAGTTGAAAATGCATTTAATACACCTAATCTACCAAACGTCACAGCTTAGCCTAGCCTAGCTTAAACGTGCTCAGAACACTTACGTTAGCCTTCAGTTAGGCAAAAGACCTGGGCCAAAGACCTGAACAGACACTTCACCAAAAAAGATATACAGATGGCAAGCAGCATATGAAAAGTTGCTCCACATTATATGTCATCACGGAAATGCAAATTAAAACAATGAGAAATGACTACAGACCTTTAGAATGGCCCAAATCCAAAACACTGAGCACACCAAATGCTGACAATGATGTGGAGCAAATGGGAACTCTCATTTATTGCTGGTGGAAATGCAAAAATGGTATAGCCACTTTGAAAGACACTTTGGCAGTTTCTTACAAAACTAAACATTCTCTTAACATACAATTCAGCAATTCCACTCCTTGGTATTTACCCAAATGAACTGAAAACTTATGTCCACACAAAAACCTGCACATGGATGTTTATAGCATCTTTATTCACAATTGCTAAAACTTGGAAGCAACCAAGATGTCCTTCAGTAGGTGAGTGGATAAATGAACTGTGGTATATCCAAGCAATGTAATATTATTCAACACTAAAAGGAAATGAGCTATCAAGCCATGAAAAGACCTGGAGAATATTAAATGCATATTACTAAGTGAAAGAAGCCAATCTGAACAGGCTACATACTATACGATTCAACTATACGACATTCTGAAAAAGGTAAAACTACAGAGACAGTAAAAAGATCAATAGTTCCCAGGGCTGGGAGGGAGGGAGAGATAAATAAGCAGAGCACTGAGGAGTTTTAGGGCAGCAAAAATAATCTATATGATACTGTAATGGTGGATATATGTCATTACACATTTGTCCAAACCCATAGGTCTACAATACCAAGAGTGAGTGCTACTATAAACTATTGACTTCAGGTGATAATGATGTGTCAGTGTAAGTTTGCCAATCATAACAAATATACCACTCTGGTGGGGGATGTTTATAATGGGGGAGGCTATGCATGTGTGGGGGTAGGGGATATATGTGAAATCTCTATACCTTCCTCTCAATTTTGCTGTTAATCTAAAACTGCACTAAGAAAGTTGTCTTTTTAAAAATTTATTTAAAAATCTTAGGCTTTGTGTGCCATATGATCTATGTTACAACTACTCAACTCTGCCATTGTGGTGCAAGACGGCCATAAACTGTAGGTAAATAAATGGACATGACTGTGTTTCAATAAAACTTTATTCATAAAAAACAGTCAGTGGGCCATATATGGGCCATAAGCATGGTTTGCCAACCCTTGCTGCATACACCTGAACTTGGTTTGTCTCTCTGGTTCTTGGCCCTTTATGCTACTCTGGGTATGAGCTATCCCTATCATAAGCCCCCTGCCCCAGACTATTAGATTGGTGTCTGGGTTTCCTTAGATGAGGGGGATTTATGCAAAGCTCATCGTATCTAAAAATTAAAATTATCACCTTCCCCCACCAAACCTGCTCTTCTTACCATAGTCCCTAAAATGGTAATTGACAACACTGTTTATTCAGGCATTGAAGTTAGAAATCTGGTTGTTGGCTTTGGCTTATCTCACTCCTCACCTGCCAGTTGGTCAATAAATTCTGTTGATTCCCTTCCCAAAACTCTATTATATTTTCCCCCTTTTTTCCTTCTCCTTATTCCCTGCCTTAGGCCCAGGCCCTTAACACCTCTTGGTCAGTGTTTTGGATTTTGGCCATTCTAAAGTACTGTAGTCATATCTCATTGTTTTAATTTGCATTTCCCTGATGACATATAATGTGGAGCATCTTTTCATATGCTACATGCCATCTGTACATCTTTTTTGGTCAGGTGTCTGTTTTCTTGGTTAGACTACTGTAGTATCTTCTAGCAAGACCAGATTACTTGCAGACCCTCAAATATGCTGTGATGTTTCACATATCTTTGCCACTCATATGTCCTTTTGCCTGGGGTCCCCTTCCCCTTAAACTTATTCCCATCTCTTATCTTCTCAGTGGACTCCTAGTCATTATTCAAAACCCAGCTCGTACTTACCCTTTCACATTTAATTATTGTCTCCTCAAGGTTACTTGGTTGAAATAGTATACCCCTAATATCAAGATATATGTTCCAAGAGCCCCAAATTCATGAATAAGGGGAAATTTAAGTATACACATCAGAATTGGGCTATTAAATATTGTAACTAAAATGAACTCTGCAATTCATTACATCATTACTCTAGTAATACCAGCCATAAAGTTAACTTGATTTGAAAAGAAACAATAAAGCTCTTGTAACTTCAGGAAATATACTGCATATATAAATATAACTACAGAACTGAGAGCAACCTTGTAGTAATGCTTGCTCCCACATAGCAGTCACACAGAATGTGAATCAAACATGGGTCTCAGTAAAATCACAAATTTCTTCATGTAACTGACCTTTGGAAATCATTAAAACAGTTGAGTGTCAAATGCCCAGAGACTGCCATACTTCCATTGTTGCACCTGTGTTAATGAACACCTATCGCCCCAATAAGAACATGAGCTTTTTGGAGACAGGCCTCCTGTTTTGTCATTCTTTTTATACCAAAGTTGATCTAACAGAAAGCAACCACTCCAAAAACATTTGTTGAATTAAATTGCCTCCTAATTGTTCTCCCTACTTCTAGGCCATCTTCCTGTCCAAAATCCTGCCAGTTCTTTTAAAAAAAAACATCTCTGGTGTCACTCCATTGCCCAAAACCTTTGATAGTTGTTTATAATCTGCTTTATAGGATTATGTCCCCACACTCTGGCCTCAGCCCATATTCCCAGTCTTATTCCCAACCTCTTCTCTTCACACAAGCTCTCTTCAAGCCACACTAGCTGACCTTGGATCACTTTTGGACTTTCACTACTCCATGCATTTGCAAATTCTGTTTCCTCTGTCTGAAAGGGTCTCCCTGTCTCATCTGCCTGAAAAACGCTTGTTTTATCAATAAAGCTCAGCTTAAATATCACTACGTTTGTAGCTTTCCTTGACCCTTCCCAGAATCACTGCCTCCCTCATTTGTTTTTCTGTACCAATGTGTTTATTATGAAAATACACTAAGCTAATTTCGCGGGGAGGATAGAAGGAGGGAGTGCCCTGTCAAAGGACTTACCCAAGCAGCGACTGCGGCACTACGTGCTAAGCATATTGTTCAAGCAGCAGTGGGAGGATGGGGCTGGATGACCTTTAAATCATGCAGTGTTATGGTTCGCAGCTTTCACAGTGTATGTGTGTGTGTGTGGCGGGGTGGGTAGTAGGGAGAGGAAAAGACGGGGTAAGGAAAGATAAAGAAAGACAAAGATACAGAGACAGAGATTGGAGAAAAGAGGGTAAAGGCAGTGCAGTAAGAGCAAATGAGAGGACCCAAATTTCTTCCACTTTACAGTTTTGCAGCGGTCCAGCCCTGCATCAAGTACTGAAGCAAGGCGGTGGGGGGTGGGGAGGAGAGGGGGACGCGGGGGAGAGGCGGAAAGGGGAGGGACTGCATTTCTTCTGAGCGTGCCCAGCCTCTGCTGCCTGCCAGATCACCTTCCGCTCCAACACGGCCAGTTCCTCCACGGAGTGACTCATGCCTATTGTGCTAGGCAGGGCGTACTCAACCCTACATACAGCCCCACAGGTGGCATAGGCTCGGTGAGAAGGTTCCCGCCAGGCTAGGCAGTGGAGCGCCGCACCGCGCTTCCTCCCGCCTCGCAGCCACCGCCCAAGCAGTTCCGACCCAGCGCCAGCAGGCCTGCTTGGTCGATCTTCGAGCCGAAGATGCGGCGGGGCTGGAAGATGGCTCTGTCCGGTGGACTGCGCTGCTGCCGCCGGGTACTGTCCTGGGTGCCAGTGCTTGTTATTGTCCTCGTCGTGCTCTGGTCCTACTATGCCTACGTCTTTGAACTCTGCCTGGGTAAGTGGGGCCGGGCACCCAAGGTGGGGAAATTATGCTCCAGCATAATCGTCTGCCCTTACCCTTCACACTGGTGTCTCCTGTGTTCTCGGCCCTCACTGCGGTTTTCCTTTCACTCTCTGGAGAGCTCTCTGTCCCCAACTGCTGGCTTCCCACAATATTGCCTGCACCCTCCCATGAGGATCCCACCATGTCGCCATCACCTCCCGCCTAGGGTTTCTTATTTCCCTGCCTTACCCACAATAATTTCCTGGCTTTTCCCACTAGGGCCTCCTTTTCTCCTACAAAGCAACCACTTGCGCCTTGTGCTCTCCTTCTGGGGGACTCCACCCTGCCTAGTTGAAGAAACAACATACCCCGTGTCTTTAAACTGCTCACACCACGAATCCCACCTATGCATCCAACTAGGAGCTCTACCATTTCCCCTCATGCAAGAATCCTACTAGAATTGCCTGGTAGGGGTTCCCTACTAAAAATCCCCAAATATTTCCTATACTCTGTTACTAGCTGTTTTCTCACACTGGGATTCATCCTTTGCTCACGATCCTCTCACACTGGCTGAAGTGTTTCATATCTTTGCCAACTCGTGACCCCACAGTACACCCTGTTCTATCCCACTGAGGTCTCCCCTTTTCAGAGTGGAAAGCCCCTCCATTCGCTTTCCATGTAGGCTCTCCCTATTTTCTCATTGTCTCCAGTGGGATGGGAGTTCTGCAATACATCCTCACAGTAGAGCCCCTGATTTTTATCACACTTGATTTAACCTCCAGTCTCCTGCATTCCTGCTTTGAGGAGCGTTCAACTCCTTCTCATTAGGGACCCCATATTCTTCTCTGACACCTTATACTAGTGACACTGTTTTTGTCACACGATGATCCTACCTTGTCTCCTGTCTTCTCACACTAGAGTGTTCTCTTTACTCTCTCACAAGAATTTCCACAGTCTCTCTTATATCCCTTCAAAGGGATATAATCATGATTCCTCCTTGTTAACTTTTCTGGGAAATCCACTCCTCGCCTCCTTCAGTGCTCTTCCACTGTTAGCCCCACATTCTGCCATTCTCTTCCTCTGGGATTTCTTGTTATCATTTCCTCTAGGGTTACACTCGTCCCCTGTCTTCTCAAATTGGGGAAACCTTATCCTTTCCCACTGGGGTTTCTAATATTTCCTACCCCTTCCAATGTGGGAATATCATTTCTTGTTCCCTCTCATTATACCACCCCTTTTTAAATTCTGTAGTCTTCTCTTGTACCCTGTCCTGTCACACTAAGGAGCACTCCATCTCCTCCTTATTTATAAAATGGTTTCCACAGTATATTTTGTGATTTCAAACTCAGAATTCCACAATAGTTCCCGATACAAACCCCAAGTCCCTCCTCTATAATTTCCCCACTTGGATTTCCCCTATCTTTAAGGATTTTCCCTATCCTTATTACAAATGGCCTTTTAATGTTCTCATCAACTCACAATGGAGTTTTCATATTATATCCTGTCTCTTTACGTCAGAGTCCTTGCTTTTTTCACAGTAAAATCTCCTCCTGCACCTGTATTCTCACGTTGAAAAATTCCTATCTACTCTCAAGAAATTCTACTAATATTTATTGTCATTTCAACACTAGAATCCCACTGCCAGCGTCTGTAAACTTGTGGTCTACAATGTTTCCTATTCATTCATTGTGGGGTTTCATATATTTCCACTCCCCTCACATTAGAACTCCTGCTTGTCCCATCAGACATCCTCTCAAGTTCTTCCAAGACTCCTTTATTTCTTTATACCAAACTCTTCTCACCTTACAAATTATGGTTGGGGTGCTGCTTTTTCCAGCCCCTGGACTTGATCCCACTTATAACTTCCTTATCTTACATATTTGACAAAGTCTACCCCAGGTGGAGTGGGTGAACTAGGGAGGCAGGAGATGACCCTCTTTTCTGATATAAAACATTCTTCTCATCGACTCTGTGCATCAGAGTTTGAATTTTCCTCATCTCCTTCTTAGAGATTTTATGGAAAATGCAGACAGCACTCTTAAAAAATAAATTTCGTTAGTTGCCTTCATAGATACACGTTTAGGCTGTTTTTCTTTTTTATCTCCATCTGCTGTGGAGGTGTATTAAGCAGACTATGCAATGACTGAGAAGTTTTCCTACTCTCAGACCTTACCAATTTGACTTTTTAAATGATGAATTGAAGCGTCAAAAGTTCAGCTCCATTAAAATAGTATGGATATTGCTCCTAGGATCAATGCCATATTTTAAGCACTATTAAACATATTTTAGAGTTTTTCTGTGCTGATTCACATGAGCTTCACCATAAATCTTTTCAAAATTAATAATGATAATGCTTAGCACTTATATAGCGCTTACTCTGTGCCAGGAAATGTTCTAAGAACTGCAGATATATTAATTCTCTCTATATTAACTCATTTAATTCTCACAATAACCATATGAGGCAGTACCACTACTTTCTTCATTGTGCAGATGTGTAAACTGAGGCACAGATCAGCAAACTGAGGTAAAGAACAATTTAGAGTCCATGCAAATAACGGGCTTTCTATAAGTTCTTATTTAGTCGTATAATATTAGAGCTGAAAGGAAACTTAGGACATAGTCATTTTGTTTTATTTAACATACTTGCACAGCACTTGCTACATTTCAGGCACTGTTTCTAAGTGACTACACACACACAAACACACACACACACTTTATCCTCATAACAACCTTACGAAGTACATATTATCATTACACCTGTTTTACGGACAAGTAATCTGAGGAACAGACAAATTAAGCAGTTTAGTTAAGGCCACAGAGCTAGTAAATGGCCAAGCTTGGATGGCAACTCAGGCAGTGTGGCTTCACAGTCCATACGGTTAACTACCACACTCTTTTCACCCTGTCTTCTCTCCACTAACACAGAGATCAAAACTTATGATGCACAAGCCAGACGTATCCTGCAGATGTATTTTATTTGTCTTGTACAGTGTTTTCTTAACATTTTGCATCAGTTACCATAATTTAAAAATCAAGGGAATAAGTCAGCCTTGACTTCCAATTCTGGCTCCATCAGTCCATCCTGCCATCTTCATCTTACAATCTTTTGACAAATGGACAAACTGAGTTTCAGAAAGTTAAATCAAATTTTCCTAAAGGCACTCATTTAAAAAATAGTGGAGTATTAGAAGTGAGGGCTGCCTAATAGCAAGGTCATTCCTTTTCCAACACTACCAAATTACAGATTTAACTTTCAATATGACTCAAAAATACGTAATGTTAAGGACCTAACTTCTTTCTAGGGAAAGCACCTCACGTCTGTCTCCCTAATGTCAGTTTAGAGCTGAAGCCAAAAGTGATATTTTTGTCGTATAACTCATAGTATATGAATTATGCCAGTTACTAGCCAGGAGACCTGAGGCAAGTTACCTAATCTCTCCCAACCTCAGTTGTCTCACATGCACCTTGCTTATATGGTTGTCCATTCACACCACAAATACATGCTTAGTACCTACTATATGCCAAGCATTGATGTTGTGAGATTAAAATAATATGGTACCTGAAAATCTGAATCACAGTTCATGGAACATTGTAAGAGCTCATTAGATAGTAACTTGTCATTACTATTATTAATAAGAATATAAGGGATTCGGCCTGACTCAGGAAAATAAGAAGCTTGGATTTTTAGAGAGGGAGAATAGTAACAGTATTCATTTTATTGAGGAAAAATTTACATAACATAAATTAACTATTTTAAAGTATTCACATCAGTGCCTTTTACTACTTCCACAGTGTTGTGTGACTATCATCTCTATATGGTTCCAAAATATTTTTCTCACTCCAATAGGAAACCTCATAGGCATTAAGAAGTCACTCCCTGTTCCTTTTTCCCTCAGTGCCCGCCAACCATTAAGCTGTGTTCCCTCTGTGGATTTACCTATTGTAGATGTTTCATATAAATAGGATCATACAATATGTGTCCTTTTGTGTCTGGCTTTCAATTAGCATAATGTTTTTGAGATCCATCCACATTGTAGCATGCAACAGTAACCCATTCTTTTTTATGGCTGAATGATATTCTATCATATATATGTGATATATGTATATACACACACACCACACACACCACAGTGTGTTTATCCATTCATTCACTGATGGGCATTTGGACTGTTTCCACCTTTTGTCTATTATAAATAGTGCTGTTATGAACACTTGAGTGCAAGTATTTGTTTGAATATCTGTTAATTCTTTTGAGTATATAACAGTGAGAAGGGTGAAAATGATTGGTCATTCTATATTTAACTTTTTGAGTAACCTTCAAATGATTTTCCACAGTAGCTTTACCATTTTACATTCCCACCAGCAATGTAGGAGGATTCTAATTTCTCCACATCTTCACCAAGACTTGTCTTTTTTTTTTTTTTTTTTTTTTTTTTTATAGCTATCTTAGTGGGTGTGAAGTGGTATCTCATTGTGGTTTTGATTTGCATTTCCCTAATGACTAAAGATGCAGAGCGTATTTTTATGTACTTGGCCATTTGTATATCTTCTCTGGAAAAATGTTTATTCAAGCCATTGCCCATTTTTTAATTGGGATTTTTAAATTGGTTTGTTTGTCTTTTTGTTGTTGAATTGTAATATTTCTTTGTGTTCTGAATTCTTGACCCTTATCAGACAAATTATTTGCTAATATTTTCTCCCATTTTATGAGTTGTCTTTTCACTTTCTTGATAGCATCATTTGATGCACCAAGTTTTGATAAAATTTAATTTATATATTTTTTCTATTCTTGCCTGTGCTTTTCCTGTCAAATCTAAGAATATATTGCTAAATACAAGGCCATAAAGATTTTCCCCTCTGTTTTCTTTTAAGAGTTTTGTAGTTTTAGCTCTCAAAGACATTTAAGTCTTTGATCCGTTCTGAGTTAATTTTTGTATTTGGTATGAGGTAGGAGTCCAGCTTCATTCTTTTGCATGTGGCTATCTAGTTGTCCCAGCACCATTTGTAGACAA